AAATGTTCGTTGGTAAATGAGCTCGATACAGTGTTGTTTACATTCTGTGATGTACGAGCTGATGACGTCAAGATGAGTTAACTTTTTTTTTTCTCAACTTTGTGTGGAAAAATGCGGGGATTAAGCGGCCTTTTGATAAATATGCGGCCTTTTAAAAATCTGCGCCATTTTGCTGATTATGCGGTAAATTCTGCGATCGCAGAATAGCGTTTTTCTGGAGGGTCTAATTCACCGCATTCATTTAGTTATTCTACAGTATTGTTGTTTTATAGTTATTTGTTAATGTATCAACCCAATTTGTGTTCTTTGAAATTGAAAAGGATATCGCATTGTGTTTGTTAATTTTGTTGCAGTTGTACAGGGTTTCCTACACATGCCCCCGGACCCCCCTAGAGGATTTGAGGTCCACCCCCACTTAAAATCAAATGGATAGGTTCCTAAATACATTTACCTTTTTTTTTTTTTTAAATAGTAACCCATGTCCATATGTTTATTTGTGGGTAGTAGATTTAAACTATAGGGCTATCACTATGGGCCCTGCCTGTACCTGTTCGCTCTGCCATCGCGTGAAGGGTCTGCTAACAAGCGACCAACAGAAAGGTTAATGTTAATGTTGTTGCACCCCCCCCAAGTATATTTCTGATCTGTGGGAAACACTGTTGTATATGTGTTAAGTGTAGTTTGGCTTGGCTTCCTATTTATGGACATGCTTTTATTTTGAAGGAGAGTTAGCGCTGTTGACAGGAAGTTGTTGTTGCTATGGAAACAACGTGACGGAGATTAACGGAGAAAAGTCATATCTACATATAAAGACGGAGAAAGTAAACGATAACGTTTATGGTTAAGTGTTAGCAACCCCCGAAGAGGCACAAGCTCTTACGTTGATATTGGAGATTTCAATAAATTCAATTTGAAAAAAAAACCGGAACAAAACGAATATCCGAATAATGAAATTGAAACCCGAATGGTACTCCAACGAACGGATATTCGGATATTCGGGTACAGCCCTAATGCCTTGTCCTATGTCAATACAACTTCAAATGAATGTCAAAAAATTAAAAGTATTTCATTTTCAACTATGTTTATGTAGCTTTTGAGTGCCTTTTTAAATGGTATTTCTTTTATTTACATGTTCAGCATTCGGAACTACAGTGTGTCCACGGAAGGAACCCATGCCCAAGTGGACTTTGTGGACACTTACCCCACTTTTATGACCCTGGAGGTTTGGGTGGAAGCACACAATATGCTGGGAAAAATGGAGTCTGAGCGTATAACTCAAGATGCTAACTCGTTTGGTAAGATCAATTGTATTTAATTGTCACATTTCCACAGTGCTTCCAGCTTTATGTCTGCCTGTTCTGACCTGTACCAAAAAGCCAGTTCAACATGCATTGAATATCTTTGTGTTATCTGGTTTAATTATGCATCCAGCTAAATGGTCCAAAAACAACGGTAATCAATTCAGTCCACCCAGGGTTTCTCAGTCTAAAGGCCCCTACACACCAAACTGACACCAAAGAACACGTCACGACGGACCAGACTGTTGTGTCGCCTCACGTCTCCTGCGTCTTGGCCAACAGTCGCACTGGAACACACCGCAAAGACTTTAGCCGACGGCCAAGTAGCACGTACGAGCTGCGCATGCCTGAGTGGCAATAACTCTCCTTACCAGCAGGCGGCGGTAGTGTGTATTCGTCATTCAAAAGAGGCAACAACCGGAAGACAGACTGCGTGATACACCGAGAGAAGAAGAACAGACTGCGTGATATAAACCAACAACAAATAGTGTGTGCGTTCCATTTTCGCTCTACAGCGAGAAGCTCATGGGGCTTTCCCGAACCTGTGTCGAGAGCTGGAGTTAAATTAATCTCAGATTTGCCTTCTTAATAGTTTGTTTCGGTCCCTCACTTCCGTTTCTCTTCTCATGCACTGATTCGCTAAGCTAACAGTCAATCAGAGTGATTTCTTTAGCCGACGGCCTTTAGCCTTTAAGGCCCAGATACACCGGCTAGTCACCTGAGAAGTCGCCGACACCGACTGTTGCGTCGCCGGACTCTCCTGCGTATTTGCCGACTTCGCACACTGGAACACACCGCAAATCCGAGCCGAGCACGTATGAACTGCGCATGCATGAGTGGCAATAACTCTCCTTACCAGCAGGCGGCGGTAGTGTGTATTCATCATTCAAAAGAGGCAACAACCGGAACAACCGGAAGACAGAGAAGAAGAACAGACTCCGTGATATAAACAAACAACAAATAGCGTTTTTCTTTCCATTTTCAGTCTCGTCCATTGAAAACATGAACGAACAGGAGCAGGACGAACGGGAGGTACTGGAGCTAGCAGCCCTTGGACTCACGCTTGTGTTAAATCATTTGTTTACCTCCCTAACTTCCGTTAACGCTTCTCATGCACTGATTCGCTAGCTGAACAGCCAAACAGTGTTATCCCTTTGTCCGACTTCCGGTGGTGTTCTCGACGCCGATTCCACATGTTGAATCGGCAAGAAAAGGCGTCAGGTCGGCAGAAAAGACCCGACGGTGCGGCGCACACCACTCCGAATAGGGCGTGCCCACGCTCATGTTCGGCCCGACTCCCATTTACTGCCGATTTCGGGCCGGTGTATCTGGGCCTTTAGCCTACCGATTCAACATGTTGATTCGGCGGCGGAAGGTGTCGGCACGGGCGAAAAGACACAGAGGTGCGGGACACACCAATCTGAGTAGGGCGACAGAACGCTCATCGACGGCCAGACATCTATCGAGGGCCGAAATCTGCTTGGTGTGTAAGGACCTTAAGAGTGAGTTCACTTGGAAGGGGCGGAGTTAGTAGCATTCGACCAATCACAGACATGGACTTGTGTACTGTCATAAGATGACAGTACACTCACAAATGACGAGTAGACTATAATAAAGGTTTATTAAAAAAAGCAACTAAAAAAAACAAAAACATAAAAAAGCAACATAGTTAAAGCTGCCACATGCAAGAAGAACATCTGGACATTTTGAGATTTCGTCAACTAATTGCGTTGGTTAGATGCATTCTTTTGGAATAGAAATAGAAGATATAGGCTACTTTTATTCATCTCCAAAAATAAATATGTTTAGTTGTTATATTTATGAGGCTCTGGTTTCAGACAGAGGGTGAAAAGAGGTGCTGCAGTATGAGACAAATAAAGAGCTTTTTGAACTTTTAACATTACATTACATTACTGCCCAATCCCAAACTACGCCCTCCTGGTTTGGGATTGGGCCTACATGTCACTTGTTAGACGCTTTTATCCAAAGCGACTTACATACTCAATACTGTGGACAATCCCCACAGAAGCAATTTGGGGTGAAGTGTCTCAGGGACACAACGACATGCTGACGGCAGTGGGGTTTGAACCTATGCTTCCCTGATCCGAACACCAACGCACTAACCCACTGCGCCACACGCCTCCTTTAAGCATGGAGACATGTCACAGTAGAGACACAAATCACAAATATTAGCATGATATCTCCTCTTTAAACTTCTCTGTATTCGTGTCATATTATTTTACGAAGAGCACACCAAGCTCTGATTGTTCAGCAGGCGGTGCTTTACAGGCAGGTTAGGTGTTCAGCATAAGTGAGCATGGCGTTCTACCCCAGAAGGAAATGAACCACCAGTGTAGAACCGAAAACTCAGAGTAAACCCCGAAGTTACCTCTCTTACTCCAAATCTTAGTCCGCAGTACAAGACATCTGTCACTCTGCTGGCTCTGCCGAAATGTGCCAATGACTGACAGCTTGTTGTGTCTTTTGTTGCAGTCAAAACCAACCCTCCATCAGACATCAAAGTTATTTCAGAGAAGTATTTTCCCACCTCTCCTCTGATGAACTGGACTCAGCCTATTGATAAAAGTTATGGGAGATTAAAATATGAAATAAGATTCTGCACAATTGGATCCCCAAATTGGACTTATGTAAGTATGTTTTTTTTGTTTCGTTCTACCAATCATGGCATGAAAAGCAGTGAGGGAACTATTGCAATATTTCATTTCAGTGTCCCAGTGTTTTCAGTCAGCCAGCCAGCATGGCATTTAAACAGTGTTATTCTTTATTCCTTATGTCTTTTAGCCAGGTTACTTTTTGTTTTACTTTGTACTCTTGGGTAACCGACATGTCTGCTGTTTTTTATGTTTCTCATTACTAGTTGTCAAAATCAATAAAAGAGTTGTGTTTATTTCCTTCAGGTGCCTAAAGGAGACATAGCCATGGACATCCAGAGCTTCAGACTCCAGAGCCTTCAGCCATACACAGAATATATCACTCAGGTGCGCTGCCAACTGGGCCAGTGGAGCGACTGGAGCGGCACAACCATGAAAACAGAAGAGGACCGTGAGTTCAGACAGCTTTCACTAACTAAAAGTACTCAAATACAACAAAGACAATTGAAGGACTTCAGAAAGATATCAAGTATAATGTACCTGAGTCCTCAGTCCTTTAGAGCTTCCTTTCAAGACTTACCGAACCAAGGAATCCGCCCACTTACATTTTTAGTTGTAGGCTACATTTGTAAGACATGGCGTAAAAAAAAAAATTTACTTACCTGTACCTGTTTTTTATTTTTGCATAGGACCAACAAGTAAACCAGATGTGTGGAGAACCATTGCTGAGGTTGACGGCAAAAATGAACGGCGAGTGCAGTTTATTTCTAAGGTAAATTCCCACATCACATTCAATGTCAATTTAACAAACTGTTAGACCACTAATATTACACCTTGTGATACCAAAACCACGACATACAATGAAACTAATATCAATATACCAGTGGCGAGCCGGCCCTAAGATATTCTTCAAAATAATATTTTAAAACATTTATTAAACACGTTATATTTTTCATTAGTTTTACCAAAATAACTTTATTTAAGTGTATTATTAATAAAATTTCCAAAGAAATAAATCCTTCGAATCTGCCTATTCAGTTGAATGTGAAGGGTTAAATGAAATAAGCTCGTCTCTGCGAGTTACTGTGAAGAGAGGAGCTGATTGGTGGTCCTGCTGTAAATTCACAGAGGGCCCAGCTATAGTAACTGAACGAGAGAGTAATGTCAAGTGACAGTACAATTGATCAATCATATCTTCCCTCTAAATGGGTGGGTGTTATTATCGCGGACTATATGACAAGTTCCGCCCGCTGTGAAGCTCTTCTTGTTTCCATAGCAACAACAACTTCCTTTCAACAGAGTAAACTCGCCTTCAAAATAAAAGCATGCCAAATTACACTTAAGACATACAACTGCAACGAAAGTAACAAACACAATGCAATATCCTTTTCAATTTCAAATAACACAAATTGGGTTATCTACAGGTGTTGTTTTGTGTGGTAGAGGGTCGCTTTTGATGCGTTTTCACCCCAGGCCGTTGATATTCCGCTGAAGTATACGCTGTGACGTAATAACTTTTTTTTTTTTTCGAGGGTGGGGGTCAGAGGGCATAGGTATAAAAGTCACGGCTCGCCACTGCAATATACTAATAGTAATATCGATAAAACCTAATGATACTTATATTAAACCTAGTGATAATAATATTAAACCTAACGATACTAATATTGTTTGTTATATAAATGCCAGTACACCTAATGATACCTATTTTACTACATCTAAAGAGTGTTATTACATCTAATGATACCGATATTACCCTTTACAATACTACCATAACATCTACTGAGAGTGAAATTACATCTTATGATATTAACATTTCATCAATATCTTTCAAAATATATTTTAACACTGATATTTAATTCATCATTTTTTTTAATGTCAGCCTTATGCTTTGAATTCGTTTTTATCATCATTTAAAAGGGCTGAATACACAGTACAAAAGGTAGGGTTAGGTTTAGGTTTTACCCAAATAATTACATCCCTGATTGTTAAGGACACGTTGTTGCACTGCAGTCTCTTGTTTTCTCACTTGTTGCTGGAAGGTAACATGAGATTGTGATTTTCTCCTGCCAGGATCCTGTGTTCGCCAATGGGAGGATAATAACATTTGACATAAAGATTCAAGAGCAAAAGAATGACAATTTGCAGTGGGATACTATCCTAGTGAACGGCTCAGAGAGCAGCGATGGCCAGCGGGTGATCACCGTCCTTAAAGATATGCTCCTGGCTGACCTGAGACCTGTCAGACTTTGCGTCACCGCTAACAACTCGGTGGGGACATCTCCCATGGCATCGTTATTCATCTCAGCAAAAGGACATGGTAAGAGACTCTGACTACAGGCCACGCTTAATCTGAACCATTGAGTGTATTCTTTTCTGTGTAAAATGGCACTCAACACAACATGTCTCTCAAACGTTGGTCCCTGTGGAGGAAATTCTTAAAGGTCACCTATTATGCAAAATCCACCTTTTCACGTCTCTTCTACATCAACATGTGTCCCCTCTTCTTCATGTCTCTTCTACATCAACATGTGTCCCCTCTTCTTCATGTCTCTTCTACATCGACATGTGTCCCCTCTGTGGAAAGAGACTCTGAAAGTTTCAGGAAAAAAGATTCTCTCTCTTTTTGTCCTGATCCATTTCTATAAAAACCTGTCTGAAAATGAGCTGATCAGATTTTGGCCACTTTGTGATGTCATAACGATTTTTTTGGCTTGTGTAACCATTAGCCAATTACCAACCAAGGTAACCCCCCCCACCACCCCCACCTTATCACCGGAATCTCCATCTAGAGCACCTTTGTGTTCTTTTTAACCAAATATCTCTGAGAGGCGTGGGGTATGAAGGTGGATATGGTGCAAAATGCGAGAGCGTGTAAAACCTGATGTGAGCAAAAAAAAAATCTGAGCTTGTGTGCATACATTTGCACTTGTATAAAATATCCACGTAACTGTGAACCAAATTTGAAGTCACAGAAGAAAAAAAAAAGTTTTGTAGCTTGTAGAAAAAAAATGAACTGAGTGATGAAATGTTCACTTGCAGAAAAATACATATTTTTTAAATATATTTTGCATTTCAACAACTTGGTTATTACAACCTCTCAAATCAGTCATTACAACTTCACGAATCGGCTCTGTGGCAGTATAAATCGACAAATCTGCGGCCTTGACTTTTGCTACACTTCTTGCGATGAATGTGTCGCTAAAGTAATTTCCACCTGTAGATGTGGGGGGTGGGAGGGGGGTTGGAGCGAAGGGGCGGAGCTATCAGAACGACGAAGCGCAAGCTCGGGTCAGTCACTCACTACAAC